TGATATCAGTGGTCTTATGAAATCACTTAACATCAGTTATAATCCAGAGGAATGGAGATTGGTCATTGATTCCTTTAAATCTGTCTTGTTACACAATGCTGATATTTTTTCACTCCCAGTTGGTTATGGAGTTCATATGAAATAAACTTATGACAATATGAAAAAACAACTCTGATATATCAACTGTGATCAACATGACTGGTAACTTTTCAGAGATTTGAAGCTTGTTGCTCTCTTGCGAAGACTGCAAAGTGGATATACCAAATACTGTTGTTTTCTTTGTGAATAGGACAGCCAAGACAGATGTTCTCATCACATCAAGAGAAACTGGTCACAAAGACAATCACTGAAATCTGAGAAGGAAAATGTTCAGTATTCACCATTGGTCAAGTCAAAGAAAATTTTGTTGCCACCTCTTCATATCAAGCTTGGTCTTATGAAAGATTTTGTGAAGGTGATGGACCAAACAAAGGCAGAATTCAAATATGTGCAGAATAAATTTCCCCAGAATAAGTGAAGCAAAGATAAAGGCATCTTTATTGGTCCCCAAATTAATAAATTTCTTTTGGATGAAAATTTTGACAGAGTACTACGGGGAAAGGAAAAGACTGAATGGAATTCTTTTTAAATCAGTGGTAACCAACTTTCTGGGCTGGGTTATGAAACAGCAGAAAATTACAGAAAACAGGTGGAAGACTGCCTGAAAGTATACACACATCTTGGCTGTAACAATTCATTGAAGATCCACTTCTTAGACTTGCATCCCCACCCCAAAGAAAACTGTGTGGCTGTGAGTGACGAGCATAGTGAGCAATTTCATGAAGATATTGCAGCAATGGAGAACAGGTATCAGGTCAGATAGAGTTCATTAATGCTAGGTGATTATTATTATTGGATGATTCTTCTAAAGTTTACAAAAAAAAGTTTTTTTTTTGATGTGTGGTTACTGAATAACTGTACATGTTTCTACTTCTGAATGGTAGATTCTGGTTGTATTTTATTCAATAAACACATATTGCCAAATTGATGTGTTTGTGTATTGCTCCACTAGCCTATATAGAACTGAACATCAAAGCAACATTGTTTTTCTTGGAAAAATACATTGTATGCATATGTATGACATAAATGACTAAATATCTCTAAATCAATAGCCAATAATACAATTTGAAGATCATTTTCAAATTCAACATGCCAAAATACATAATTGGCACATTTCATTTTTGAAGTAGTCAACTTGTGAAAAATTGTAAACCAGTGTTGAGAGGAAAGATGAAAGGATTTGTTATTAAATTAAATTTTTTTTTATCCTTTTTAGAACCTTTGAAATTTTGGGTAAAAATTTTGTTTTCTTGTGTCAGCTAGGGGACCATAAGTTAGTATGAGAAATTTTAGTATCTTTTTGAGATGCAAAGCACACCAATTTGGAAATACTTGCAAAAATGAAACTCTCAGGATTTATTCACAAATGTATAAAATTATTTTTGAAAGATTTCTTTTTAGAAAATCTTTGTAATTTTTTCAACATCCGTTAATCCCCACTTAATTTTATAAAATTGAGAAATTCTTTTTTGTAGGGCTTAATGTTTACATTAGTTATAAGGACAAGTCTTTAGAGAATTTCAGTCATTAATTTTTTGGGGTCAAACAGAATCTCCAGTTACAGAAAATCTATCCCGAGTCATTCATTTAAAGTGTCTGAAATATATTATGGACCCTATTGTTTTGTTTTTTTTATAAATAATGAATTTTTATAGTAACTGTTTTCATTTTTTAAAATTATAATTAGAATAATTTATAAACTTTTAAAATTCTGTATTAATTTGTAGCAGTCAAGTAATATTGTTATTAAATTAAGTCTGTATTTACTAATCATAAGTGAAGAAGCTCACAATTTCAAGACCCCAATATTTTAAAAAGAATTTATTTTATGGTCTATAATCATGTACATTTTTGTAAATATGAATGTGCAGACATAAAATTATCAGAAAGTCAAAGCAGTAACTTTAGTAAAGTTACTGCTTTGACTTTCTGATAATTTTAGTTAAAATTTCAACAAGCATCATGAATTAAACTATAACAAGTACCTAAAATTCAATAAAACATTAGATTGCTTAGAATATTTTCCTTAATTTCTAAGATTAAACGCTAATTAAAAAAAGAAAAAGAAAAATTATATAAAAAGGTATTCACATTATATCTGTCAAGTACTCATTATAATTATGTCATAAAAAAAAAAAAATTCTCAAACATGAGTCTCAAGAAATGTGTCAACACCTGATAAAAACGGTCACCTTCACGTTAAAAATGCTTTTCTGTGATATTTTAATTTAAAGTAATATTTGTTTCAAATCAGATTAATTAAACTTTAAATCAACTAATCTTGCTCAAATGAAGTTTTATAAAAGTATATTCTATTTTTGATTGAAAGATGTTTTAAATAAAGAGAATTATGATATGTTGACAGATTGGTCAGCATGGACGATTATACTGATAACCAAAAGAACATCATTCCAATAAATTAAAATTCAGTTTTAAATACAGCAAAGTATTTTGCTTATTAGAAATATTAAATTTAACCTATTAGCTTGAAATCAAAACTAAAATAAAAGCTTCAAGAAAGATTTTTCATTTTTAAAAATTCATTTTAATCCTTTGGTATTGCCATTCTTTGGAGATACCTAGTTTGCAACAATAAGATCTGGGCAACAATTTCATTTATCATTATGTATGTTTGGTTGAAAATTAACTGTTTGGATCATTTTTCTGGTTTCCAGGCACAGCTTAAACAAATTGTTCAATGTTTGCCAAGTGCTTCTGCCTTCCCTAAGCTATTATCAAAAGAAATTGTCTGCAGTTATATTTCTGAGATAAAATATTGTAATTATTTACGCTATTTAGATTGCTGCCATATATTAATGATGTTTCAAACGTTGTATGCTCTGGTTTTGTTCATGTGATTAGAATTCTGAACTGAACCCTTTATCTTGTCCACAGGGGTACATTGTTCTAATTCCATTTGCCATGCATCTTCCAGATGTCTCAGTTATCTCCTTTTAACTCAACTCTTCAAGATTTGTTCACCACTACAGTAGCCATGTATTGAACTCACAATTCTTTGAGTCAAGTCATTGGATCCAACCAACGCTTTTATCCTCAAGGACACATGGCCCAGTGGATAAAAGCATTGGTTGGGTCCAGTATCTTGACCCAAAAAGTGAGTTCAATACCCGGCTACAGCAGTGGTGAACAAAAACTGGGAGAGTTGTGTTAAAGAGGGATAACTGAGACATCCAGAAGAGGCATGGCAAGTGGAACTAGAACAATCTACCCTGGTAGACAAAATAAAGGGTTCATTTCAAAATTCCAATCACCTGAAGAAAGCCGGAGCATCCAACGACCAAAACATCATGAATATGACAACAGTTCAAACAATGTAAATAGTGTAAAAAACAAAAAAAAAACGTGGGTCAAGATTATTAACAACCACTATGCAGACTTATAATCACAACCTTATTACCTCCTCAAAAACATCCTCTGGCAATGGCTTATGAAAACCAAAAGCCTTTAGAAGATATTGGACAATTAATGTCCAAATTGTACCAGGAAACTAAGAGGCCCAAACAGAAGAAAAAAAAATCTTAAACTAAGAATTTTAATTACCAAAACCATATAGATAGATTATAGATAGAAGGGGCAATTTTTTTGCAATGAAAATTAAGCCTAATAGAAATAAGATTTAGAAAGCTAAACTAGTTAGCATATCTACCAGTCACAATAGTAGTTCCAATTAAATAATTCTTACAACGTCCAGGCAGGCATAAAAAAAAAAATCTATAAAATTAGAACTGTTTGTAGATATTTCAGACTGCTAGTAATCTGTCATTCGGTTCGAAATAATGATTTTAAAATACTTTTATTACCTTCTAAGTAATAAGGTTAGACCTTAAGATCAAATAATGGTGACAAAAAGGGTTTCACAAGGGATTAGCTCTCAGTGCACGTTTTTATGAAGCAAAATAATAATAAAAAACTAAAGCAATATAATACGAAATTAGAATTTGCTCTTCCTTAATTTTATTTAAGGAGTACTTTTTTTTTATTATTAAATAATGAATTTTAAAAAGTTAATAGTTCCTATGAATCTAAAAGTCTGCTGACAGCCGGCCAGTCACATTTTTTAAAAGTCGGCTGGCATAACCTAATGGTTGCGGTGGAAGATGTCACCGTGACAGAAGCATATTAAGTTCGTTGGTGTTTTGGTATATAATATAACTTTATTTGTATTTATTGAGTTATGGCATTAAGGTTTCAGTTTGTCATTCAAAGGTTAGACTTTAAAAAAAAAAAAAAATGTCACTATATAAAAAAAGACGAGATCTCAAAGTGTAGCATAAAAAGTTAAATATTTCGCTCATGAGTGTAGTTGGTAGTCGTGAAAGAATTAATGTCTTCATTAAAATAAAGAATAAATAACGAATTTTCAAGTATTAATAACAAAAGCCGGAATCAGTGACGTGATCAGTTGAGCATAAAAGAAAATTATACTAAAGTTAAACTGACTAGATAATTTGACAAAAAATGTAAAAGAGGTACAAAGTGGGTGATCAATTTATAATATAAATTTATTATAAAACAATCCCTCATTTTATACTCATGTTGTACATGTGGACGCAATGTTCGCTAAAGATACAATGAAACCTATTTTAAGAAAATGCCGAAACATTATTCTAATTAAAATCGTTTTCTACTTTTTTCATGAATCGAGTATAGTTGCAGATTTTTATTTTATTCGTTTTTAAATTCAAATACCCGAACGGAAATTCAGGAAAATGCACTAGAATTCACACACTGAGGAACGATAAATAGAAGACTAAAATGTGTAAGTCTTTAAAGAAATATTTCATCGTAAGTAAGATGCATTATTTCAAAAAATTAAAAAGACGACAACAAAATATAAAGGAAAGGAAAGAGGGGAAAAGAAAATGCCGGGCGTCTCTCACCTTCTCCAAAAGATTTGCAATATGATAGGATACGCTGGCCATTTTTGATAATTGTGGAGGGCTCTTCTTACTTTTCTTGTTTTTTAATCTTTCTTCCAAACACACAGTGGATAAATTGCAAGAAAGTTTTAAGGATGCATCAAAGGGTTTGTTGAGCGAATGGAACAAAGCATGAATAATTCAGAGCTCAGAACAATCCCGCTTACCACTGGGATGTGAATGTGTAGTAGCGAGCATGCGCACACAATCACATCCGGTCTAACGAAGCGCCTTGTCCTTCGATTCGCGCACTCAAAATAATAGTATATAGGTTTTTTTTTTTTTCATAATTATTTTGGATCTATTTGTAGAAACCGAATCGCTACGTTACAACAACTTAGATCGGTACTTGCTATTCATATGTAAACAACAACAAAAAAAGTTAACTAGAGGTAGAACTTGAATCTGGGGATGAGAGAAGCCAACCCAATCCATTGACTCACTTGACATGGCGTTATTATTTTCTTTAGTTATAGTTTTTGAAATTGCTCGAACATTGACACCGACACTTCTTTCTCAGTAACTTAGCAAATTAAGCAATAATACTGTGTCCGGAGCCTTGTTGATTTCACTTATCTTTTTTTTATTTATTTATTTACTATCTGGCTATACGTACGTTACGCATAAATTATTTATTTTTTGACTCGCTTTTTTTGCTAATTAAAAAGGTTGTAGACAAATTACAACTTAAAAATCCATGCGGTAACAATGTCGTTTAAAAAGTAAAGCTTTATTATTCTATTTTTAACATATGATATTTGCTTGTTTTCGGTTGTATGACTAGTAATAACGTAACTGCATTATACCCCAAACGAAACCAAAAGTTTTTCTTATTCAGTCATAGTTTGTGCTTCTTTTTCGTTTTTTGTATCCCCTCCCCTACATCAAAGAAAATGTTATTTGTTTTCTTTGACACTGGAAACCTTTTTTAGTTTTAGCAGCACTCGTAACTTAGTAAATGTATTGTATTAAAAAACAAACTTTAACAACCGATATTAAAGTAAACACTGTTTTTGTTTAAGTAACACAAAAAAACAACATTAATTTAAAAAAAACTTTTTTTTTTTTTTTTTTAGTAATAGTGAAATTTTAATATTCAATCCTAATTAAAAGTTATTTTGTAATTATTAATATTCTGGGATTGTTCCAACTCAACAGTTCACTTTTTAGTTTACATTTTTTTTTTTTTTTTTTTTAATCTGTTTTTATACTTAAATTTACTTTTCCAATTGAATTCCTCTACAAGGAAATTATTTGCCCCAGATTCAAAAAAGGCCGGGGTAGTGAAGTATAGATGAGAAACTTGCTTAAATTGTGATAGAAAATAACGGCAACCTATATTGTGACAATTTTTCTGCTTAAAGTCAATCATAAATCGAAAAAGAAACATGATCGCCCATGGCCTCTCTATGGAAGGAATTGCGTAAAGCGTCGTTCATGAAAGACGAGCCTCCCAAATTGGAAGACAAAGTTCAAAGATTAATGGAAGAATGAATTGCTTAATAAACATAGATGAATAAAATAAACTTTGCGATAAAGCGCAAAAAAATGAAGGTAACTAATAAAAATATTTGTAATGAAATTCTATATTTGAAACAAGAGCAGATAAATATTTTTTATGTAAAAACTAAAAAGAAAAAGCTTATTTTTAAGAAATTTCAGATAAACATTTTTTTGCTATAAGTTTTCTGAAAAAGTGAAGTTCACTGGTTACTTTTAAAAAGTGGTTCACATGACATTTTATAGGTACCTCCAACAATGTTTTAAAAAAAGAGCATGCCATGATGAAAAAATGCCCAAAACTTGCTAAAAACAAAGTTTTAAACAAAAAAAAAAAAAAAATGTTTTATTCAAGAAGAGATACGATCAAAATATTTTTGGACTATTTTTTTAATATTTTTAATCCTTTGAGCATGTTTGAAATTTTGGGTAAGAATCCTGTTTTTTTTTTTTTTTGTCAGTGGCTGGGCCAAAGATAGGGATTTTTAACATCTTTTTTGGTGTTAAAAACACATTTTGGAAATTTTTGCAAAAATCAAATAAGATGTCAGATTTAGTAAAATTTTTTTTGAAATCTTGAAAATAAATCTTTCTTCACTTACTTTTATGAAATTTTGAGAAAATTAAAATTTCAGCCTCTTCATTAGTTAAAAAGCAGGACTTCTTGGGGAATGTAAATCGTCAATTTATTTTTGCCAAGCAGAAACACCATTTATCGAAAATCGGCTCTGAATTGTAAAATAAAAAACAGAATAAAACTATGCCATTATTTAATTAGAAAAGGTTTTTAATTGTTAAGGACACTATTGTCCTGAGAAAAAAAATTTTTCAATGAATAATATTTTCATTTTTTTCTAAATGAATAAATTTTTCTAATTTAAATTAAAAAATTTAAATTAGAAAAATTTATTCATTTTTTTTAATCTTTTAAAATTCTGTATTAATTTCAACTTTTTTAATGATATTATTAATTGAAAACTATATTTACTGATCATAAATAGAAAAGCTTAATACAAATCAAATCAATATTTTTAAAAGAATTTTTTTGTATATGTATAAATGTGCTGATTTTTGTAAGTATGGGCAACCATACGCAACATTATCAGATTATAAGAGTGATAAGTATAGTGAATTTAAAGTCAACATTTCTAAAATTCAATAAAACATTAGATTACGGAGAATATTTTCCTAAATTTTTAACATTACTGAGTACTTGAAAATTATATAAAAAAAGGTGCTCACATCATTTTTTTAATTATGTTTAACAGATAAAGTTTCTGTAAAACAACATTAGATCTATCTTCAGGCTATCAGCACATCAAAACAGCTACTGTCAGGTTAAAAAATGCATTTCTGCAATATTTTAAACTTAAAGTAAATAATATTTGTTTCAAATCAGATTAATTATACTTCAAAAGCCAATATTCCTCAAATAAAGTTTTCAGAAAAGAATATTTTAATTTGGAAGATTTTTTAATAAAGAGAATTACATTTTGATGAAAGATGACTGAAAAAGGGCACTAATCATCTATTTTAGCAAAAAAAAAACAAAAAAAACTCCATCCAATCAATTTAAATTTAAGTTTTTGAAATACAGCAAAGTGTTTCGCTTATTGAAAACTTCAAGAAAGATTTTTCATTTGTAAAAATTTATAAAACCTTAGGTATCGTGTTATTTTGGGTATTTGCTACATTTTTATGTAATAATTTATGTGCTTATACTTAACTTATCTACAACATTATAGGCACTTTGTTGGAACTACCAATTAACAGAAAACTAAATTTATCTTCTTGGCCTCAATGTTATTGAGTTGAACCGTACGATGGATAATAGCCACATCACATTGAAATACCAATTCCTATACGATCACTGAATGTAAGCAATGTCTAGCCTGGTCAGTACCTAGATGAGTAATTGCATGGGAATACCAGGTTGGATGTGCAGGTGATGTAATGGATAACAACTTGGAATTATAAGAAATTTAAGCTGATTGAGTGTGTATTGTGTGCTTTTCTGAGAGAAAGTAGACACTGCATTAGGCTCTTGCTTAATTTTTGAATTTAAAAAATATTTTTGGCACATTTTGATTTGTGGTAAAACAGAACCAATCAAAAGGTTTCCCTCCAAATTCCAAGAAGGGAATTCAGAGCCTAGTTGTAAGTTATAAAAGGGGGCCTTGGATTTAATTGAAGGAGTTGATGAACATCTGCTGTTGAAACCCAGGTTGCTCCTGTCCAGAAAAAAAGCAAAAAAAAAACAATACAGAAGAAATTTGACAACCACCAGACAAGAATTGAAAGAAACATCAAAGGAACTCCCACATCAAGGAAAAGTCTTTGACTGTTCTATAACCACAAACTTTGCTTAAAGAATTGTACCAATTCTCTGAAAACTATTCATAAAAGTATTTTCTCCTTTTTTACATTTTATATGAAGTTTTTTATTCCAAGGACCTTATGCAGCATTATAATTTTGATTGGAAAAAGGCATATTTCATTTGCATTGATTATTGTTGCTTACATGTTATTGGTGATCATTTGGCACACAATGCATTTAATTTGTGTAATTCTTTCAATTTTGTGTGTTAATAATAAATTTATTGTTTGTTCTTAAATTCAGCTTGTGCTGTCTGTTTTTGTTGTGTATCTATATAAATTGAATGTTACCTCAAATATTTGTTTGAACTATTTTTTTGTAGGATTTTTTTTTTATCCAAATAAATAATTCCTTTAGAATTGTTAATCAGAGAGTCAGGTTCCAAATCCCATTATGTTCGTTATATTCACTTATGTGAAAATACCCTTGGGACAGGTATGAATCTATCTCTTCTTCCCCCATCTATGGGCTAATTAGTAAGACTTGTATTGTGCAACCATTATTATCTAAAAAAATTCTTACATGTTAAAAATATTTTCTGATTTTAAATAATTTGCAAAGGCTTAATAAGCCAATAAGTCACTCACTCACTCACTCACTCAATCAATCAACCAATGTCACTCACTCAATCAATCACTCAATAAGTCAATCAATCAAGAATCACTCAACCAATCACTCACTCAATTAATCACTCAACCAATGAATTACTCAGCTAATCAATCAGTCAATGAACTGTATCATTTGTCTAAAGTCATTAATTTCAAAATACATCAGAAAATTTAATTTTCACTTTTTCTGGTGCTTTTTGCTGTCTTTTTTTCTAAACTTTGACTTCTAAAACTTATGCAGAAAATGAATACAAGTGAAAAGCAAAACAAAAATCTTGTGAGTAGGATAATATATCTAAAAAAAAAGTTCATTTTATAATATGAACAAATAAAAAAAACTCCATCTCAATTCTTGATTTGATCAAAAATTTTGTTAACTAATTGCATAATGTAAAACATCTTGACTGACCACTGTTCTAGGTGTGTGTATTAACTCTCTAGTCTTGGACCTATATTGTTTCTTAATTTTATCAACAACACTCCTCTGACTCTGTATCTATTCTGATGACACAACTATT